GAAGACGGACCTGGGCAGCTGCGTCATTAGGCAGGGCCTGCAGGAAGCAGCAGCCAAATCTGATCCCCTTCCTATTCCTCAGCTTGTACCCCAGGCAGTCCCCCTTCTCTCCCTGCCCTCTAGAGCTCCAGCCAGAGGCAGGGAGGACCCAACCCCACCATTCCCATCTTTCTTGCCGCCATCCCCCCATCAGCCTAGCCAGAAGGGCTCATACCAGGAGGAATTGTGGGCTTCATTTTGTCCTTGGCTGCTGAGTCCATGGCAGGCCCTGGAGGAGCTGGAGCAGAGGTAGGAGTGGGATCGAAGGTCTAAGTTAGAGCAGGAAGAGTGGGTGCTCCTCTAAGCTGCAGCCTCCATCTAGGCCCTTTGGAGAAGGAGGAGGAAGGTTCTTGCCCAGCCTCCTCAGGAAATGAGAGGGAGGCGGGGATGATGGGGAGGCACCTGGGAAACCTTTGCCTCCTGGGTTTCTCAGTTTTGCCCCTCAGATGCCAAGTGAGTCAGGGTAAGCATGGGACTCTGCTGGAGACTGCTCCCGCTCCGAATTGCAGAGGACAGTTTGATATGGAACTCACCAGGCTTGACCAGGAGTGTCCAGTTCTCCCTCTTTCACAAATGGCCTTGGCCTTGAGGATGGCTCTCTCCCCCTCTCCCTCTTGGCAGAGCTGGGTACTCCCTCCACTGGCTCATGAGGCCCACACCTCGGTGTGCAGCAGGAGAATTCCTCTCCCCAAAGAAGCCACTGTCCCACCTCCCTGCCCAGGAGCTCCCTCCTCCCTCCAAGACCCGCCCTCTCCAAGGCCACATGCAGAAAGGAAGGAAGCTGAGTCTCTAGTACTTTATTCCCAACAGGAAAGAGCATCTGCACTGTGGGACGGGGTGGGGAGGGCTGGGCGCCACTTCCTTCAGGGAAGGAGGTGTATACTCCCTGTGGTCATTGAGTCTTGACCAGCCTATCCAGGACTGCTTAGTGCTCTGGGCACAAACATGAACTAAGCAGCTCCAACTGGGTGGAGAGCAAGGTGTGCAAATATGGGTGCACACAACATCACGGTGTGAAAACTGTTGAAGGGTCCTTTAGAGCTGGGTGTGTGCTTCTGCAGAGGAGCAAGAGACCACAGGCTGTGTGTGGTGGGTGATGGCGGAGAGTGGTGGAATGGCTATGAAAGCTATGTTTATCTTGAGATAAAGAAGGCCATGGAAGGGACTACTAAGTAGTAATACTGCAGCAGACACTGGCTACCACCCAAATCCACCCTTCAGGACAAAGACACTCATTTCCTTAGCTGCCAGAAACGTAGGTTGCTGAGGTCTCATAGCCAAGTCTTTTGGTCCATGTTAGGGTATAAAGGCCAGGTACCCTTGCCTTGGAATGCCTTGGAAGAGTCCCCCAGCTTCACAGCCCCTAGTAGGATGGACTGAGGCCTCAATTATAACTGCATCACAGTTTAATTCTCTCCTCTGCCTAATTCTCCTTGTCTTACTCCCTTACAAGTGTGATTCATCAGTAAACTTCCTGTAGGCAGATGGCTTTCTCAAAGTCTGTTTCCCAAAGAACTTGACCTAAAATAAACAATAATAAAAACCGACAATGTTAAAAAATGATACTAGTGGACACAGAATCCTTCCACACGGAAGAAGTGCTCTAAGTGCTTTACATATACTTACACATAGGTAAACGTGTTTGCGTTGGTTGAAAAGTGGTTATAATTCCATGGCCTCTGAGCACTGCAGTGTGGAGACAAGAGAAAGATGAGTCTGGGGATCGGGGAAGAAGAGTGGGGATGGAGACAAGTGGATAAGACAGATGTAGTTAGTTTTTGCTGTTTGGCAAGGAGTGAGGGACAGGAATAGGGTGGGTGATCTCAAGACAGTGGGGCAGCCTTTAGAAGCAGGTTTGGGGAAACACATTGGGTTCATCATGCAGCATGGTCTCTTCTGAGATGGGGGCTGGGGCAGTTAGTGGAATTGAAGCAGGCTGGCCAGTTAGGAAGGTTCCCATGGCTCCCACTTCTCTACTGCCGGGGCTGCCCAACTGCTTTCTCTTCGTCTTCCTCAACAAGTCCTGCCTCTCGGGATCCAGGGGTTATTTTCGTCCTCTTCGGCGGTTTGATATTTGTTGATGGTCCCCGAAGTTTTTTCGGCCATGTTTGCAGAGAGGAATTTTGCCAAATTCCCTGGGAGGGCGTGGGGCGGAAGCGGAAGTAGCGACCGTGGCGCCGGCGGCCGGGCGGTCAGGAACGGAAGCGG